CGAAATATTGCGCCATTTGGAAGCTAGTGATCCTGTAAATGGGACATGGAATGCTGATGGTATTCAAAATAGAGCAATATTGTGGTGTGATACTAGTAGTATTGCAATTGGTGTTGCAATCGAATATAACGGCGTAATAGTTGAGGATGCAGCATGGCTACGAAGTACAAATGATATCATGCATATTAATATGGCTGAATTAGATGCTGTGGTGCGGGGAATAAACCTATCTGTTAAGTGGGACATCAAGAACCTATCAATATTTATTGACTCGGTAACTGTTCATGGATGGTTAAAAAGTGTGCTGACTGAAAGTCATAGGGTTCGGTCAAATGGGCTATCAGAAATGCTAATCAAACGAAGACTTTCATTATTGCGTGAAATAATAAAGGAATACAGTATGAATATCATAGCGAAGTGGGTTCCGTTTTCTAAAAACAAAGCAGATGTATTAACAAGAGTTTCAAAAAAGTGGTTAAATGAAATTTCACGAAAAAATGTTAAAGAATTATGTGGGGTAAATATTGCCGATGAAATTCGTAAATGTCACTCGAAACATCATTTTGGCGTTAATCGAACAATGTTTACAGTACAACAAAGAATCCCGCAAGTGTCGAGAAAAGACGTTAAAGACTGTGTGCGCAAATGTCGTCAATGTATTTCAATTGATCCAGCACCAATAAAATGGGAACATGGAGTGCTAGATGTACCAGATACATGGTATCGTATTGCATGTGACGTAACTCACTATAAAGGGTCACCGTACCTAACAATGATTGACTGTGGACCAAGTCGATTCGCAGTATGGAGAAAGATGCTACACGAAGATACAAAGAGTATATTAATTCAATTGGATTCCGTATTTAGGGAGCATGGCCCGCCACACGAACTATTGATGGACAATGGAGCTGTGTTTAGATCAAATGAGTTGTCAAACATGTGTAAAAAATGGTGTGTGCAAAAGATGTATAGATGTGCATATAGACCATCAGGAAATGGTATCGTGGAGCGTAACCACCGCACAGTAAAACGCGCATCTGCGAGAGCACAGATATGTCCGTTACAAGCGGTATTTTGGTATAATGCAACACCAATGATTGGAACGCAAGAAGACTCTACACCTGCTTCTCTAAAAAATAAGTACGTCTGACGTCTACCTATTCACAACACAGAAAGTCACGAAAGACCACAAAAGGACTCGGCAACCTATAGAATTGGAGAACAAGTTTATGTTCGTCCTGTTGGTGCAAAGTGTACAACGATTTGGAAAATTGGTAACGTGACCAATATACTCTCAAAAACAAATATTGAAATTGATGGTGTACCACGACATGTGAGAGACGTGAGAATAGTTCCTGAATCATATGGTGAGAAAGTTTCAAGAATGAATAGTGTTGAAGAAAATGAAAGCGACGAAAGTGAGTTCGACGATTTACATATTGCATGAAACGAGGAAGTTGAAGAGTCAGTTGATGAAGAGTCAGTTGCTGACGAAGAAAATGACGGTATTGAAGTCATGGATAATTTATTACCGTTGCTCAGACGTTCGACTAGAAAACGGAGAAGGCCGACATATTTAAATGACTATTTGCCTTAAGAACTTAGTTCTTGGGGAGGTGTTAATAGCTAATTTGTAAACGCTATTATAATTTAATAGCGTTTACAAATCCTTAGTGTAAATATGTCGTAATTTCTTTTTTACTTTTTGTTTGTACATAATTATCCCGAGGGAGCTTTTGTTGTTGACGAAATGTATAAAATAGTAAATAGTATGAAAAAGAACAGAGTTCATAAAAAGTAAAGATAGTTGTCGTTTTACATATATAAGGAAATAGTTATATATATAAGTCAGATATTTAAAAAAATAGAGTTTTTTACCTTACTATTTTTGATACTATATATATATATCAATATCTTATATGTATATATATATATATATATATATATATATATATATATATATATATATATATATATATATATATATATATATATATATATATATATTTATATTTATATAAGAAAATAGTGTTTTTTACTTTATTATTTTTGTTCCTATATATATATATATCAATATCTTATATGTATATTTATATATATATATATATATATATATATATATATATATATATATATATATATATATATATATATATATATATATATATATATATATATATATATATATGTATATATATATATATACATATATATATTTTTTAAAAAACTAATTGTTTTTTATTATATAAAATACATTAAGCATACATTTTTCAAAAAAGTTTGTTTTGGGAAAATCCTATTAAATGATAATATTTTTTTTAACTTTTATATTGATAATATTTTTCTTGTATATATATATATATATATATATATATATATATATATATATATATATATATATATATATATATATATATATATATATATATATATATATATATATATATATATATATATATATATATAGTATATATATATATATATATAGATATAGATATAGTAAGAAAAATAGTAAATCAGAAAATAATTAATGAAATAAATTATTTTGTTATTTACTATTTTTCTGACTATATATATATATATATATATATATATATATATATATATATATATATATAATATATATATATATATATATATATATATATATATATATATATATATATATATATATATATATTTATTTATTTATTTATATAACAAAATAGTGTTTTTTACTTTATTATTTTTGTTACTATATATATATATCAATATCTTATATGTATATTTATATATATATATATATATATGTATATATATATATATATATATATATATATATATATATATATATATATATATATATATATATATGTATATATATATATATATATATAGATATAGATATAGTAAGAAAAATAGTAAATCAGAAAATAATTAATGAAATAAATTATTTTGTTATTTACTATTTTTCTGACTATATATATATATATATATATATATATATATATATATATATATATATATATATATATATATATATATATATATATATATATATATATATATATATAGTCAGAAAAATAGTAAATAACAAAATAATTAATGAAATTGCACTTATATAAGGAAATAGTCATAACAGTGTATAAGGAAATAGTCATATATATAAGTCAGATATAAGGAAATAGTCATAACAGTAGAAACAAATTTTTATATGGAAAAAAAGTTGAAGCAATGACCAGAAAAATATCATACATATAGAACATATTTATCTGAAGTTTGAAAAAAAATTATTGAAATCCTACAGTCAGATTTTTAGAAAATTGATTTTAAATAAATAAACAAATCCATGATTTACGCTAAAAAAGTATTAAGTAAAATTACAGTTTTAGCGCGCAAAGATTTTTGTTACCTCTATTTATTTATACTTTTGTGAAATTTTTGTATTATTTCATTGATTTATGTTAATAATAAGGCTATATCATTGGCTTTTTAGAAATTAATTAACAAATAAACTGTTGCCATATAAAATATTTTCTGTAGTTAAGATCCGTAGCCATACACGACCGTGTTTCGTCTACTTATTTAACGATCTACTTATTTAACGTGACACCGGCACCAATCTGAATTTTCAATTCACCTCATGTAATGAGCCTTACAATGTAACTAAGGCATGGTACACGATTTTCCTACTATAAATATACGTTTTTTTCAATTGCAAAATATATAAAAACTTTAATAAAAAAGTATAACATGTTTGGTATCGTTGGAAAGGTTTTTTTAACCTCTATCATAATCTAGTAAAAGTGATGCGATTTAAATAAACTGGCAAACACAGTTTTTTTTAAAAAAGATAAAAACTTAAACACAAATTACGATGGGGCTTGGCTATAGATGAGTTTTGAAATCAATTTTTTTCGTAAAAGCACACATCGGTGTTCATTTTCACCTAATGTGACGTTACATTTATGATCAGACTATTTTTTGGGGTAAATATCTATGAAAAACCGTTTTTTTATAAAAGTTGAAATTAATATTTTTAATACAACACCTTAGTGAGTATTTTGACAACTATGTCACGTTAGATTTAGATACATCATGGTATTGCAGTTCTTTATACAGAAGTCGTTTTTACTTAAATTAATACAATTTTTAGCCCCATTCAAAAAACTGTTGTCGGTATTTACTATCACATTTTGAAATACCCTGAAAGACTTATTTGCCCATGAAAGACTTATTGTTTATTGCCCATGAAAGACTTATTTGCCCACCTTAAGAAATAATTTATTCCTTTATTGCGGTAAACTTTAAAAACATTCTAGTTAGTTTCGTTTTCAAAACAGCAGAAAACTCTAAACATTTTTGTAATTGATTTAAAAAAGTTGTTATATGTACCGACTGTAAAGTGTTACTTGTTAAAAAAAACATTTTAATCTCTACTCTTTCAATTTTATTATAGATCATTACTATGTCTATCACAGATCCATTATCATGTGGTTACGTTAAAGTAATCGTATATAACCTGCTTATGTCAAAGTTTTCACTACATCAAAGAATTGATCATTATAATTATATATTCGGCTGTCAAAAAAATAAATTTGCTGTCTCTCATGACATTCATCGTCAAAATTTTCCTAAAATTAAAGTAAAAATATGCTATCTGTCTAAACGACATGTGCAAAAAAAAAGAAATTGATCGACACATTCTCTTTAAACGAATGGAATAAACTTAGTTCTAAAGAAAAAAAGTCTACATAGGTTCTCCAACTGCCAAAAAAGTGTTAAACTTTATGGAGATATATTGTCTATAATCCCAACTAATACCAAACTTTACAAAAAAAAAAGCTTGTCATCTCTTGTTCAATGAAATGAAAAACAAAGACAATTTAATAAAATGTGCAAGTTCCTTAAAACTTTAAGAAGCTGATAAAAAATTTCAAAAACATTACTCTTTTATGTCAATGAAAAATGCAATACCCCTCATAGCCGATTTAAATTTAGTTCAGAAACCATCAAGAACGGACACAAAAAAATACGAAATACACATGCAAGATTATTTAAATGCAGGTTGAAAAATTCTTTCAAGAAACATCAGTTGTAAGGTACACAATTTTAAAAAAAGTTTAAATTTAATTTTGTTTAAAATTGTTTAATAGATTCAAATTGACTTAATTTATAGGGCATTTGGGACTGAGATATCTTCGCGGAAGGGTAAAAAAATACGTATGAATCAGTTCCAAATCTTTACAGTAATTGATGATAAATCTTATAAAACTACTGAGGTTAAGAAAAATCCCTCTTAGTCAAATCAGAAAAATACTTGCTGAAAAGCACAAATGTTTTATGCGATTACATTCAGAATCTGAAATAAATTCAATGGATGCTGACAAGGTTAATAAAGAACTGAACCGTATAAATGAATATGGCAATAGCATTGAAACACTTCAGGAATTGCAAAAAAAACTTTTATATTTTAACAGAAGACGGCATTTTCAAATTTGGCATGACGGATCTACTATAAACAACCATTCACATTTACTATTTATGGTGAACTGTATGTATGACAAAGCAATATATTACACTGAAAAGGAATATATTAAAATTCACGGTTATAAAATTGATGTTCAAGCTCAGATTGAAAAACCTGAACTTTATCTAATTGCTTGTTGTTCATCTACAGATAAACAACTTATGTACATAAATACCAGAAATGAAGACAATAGACTTTTAGGAGAGCCTGTTGACATAAATGGAGAAAAAATTAATGATATAATGCGTTTTTTTCATGGCGATGTACCTGCCTGTCAGTTTGAGATTGGACAACAAAAGGGAGTTGATTATCCTTGTTGCGCTTTTCCATACATTGTTCTTGTGATACAGCTCATTCATTCTATCTATTCATTCATTCTATCTATTCCTCTGTCAAGCATAGAAAATAGAGTAAAGAAACTCATGCTTACTCAAACAAGTAGAGATAAAATAAGGAAACATCAAACAAAGCTGTACAAAAACTTACTGAAACATTAAATAATCAATGAAGTAATGAACGAGGAATACATTTTCAAAATAAATCTTCCAAAAAAATTCTTCAAAAGAAACTTGATAATGAAATGCATGGTATACAGCGATTACCAGCCTTACTGTGTAATGAGTATTTTAATGACCTAGAAAAATTATATTTGAGTAATTATGAAATTCTGCCGTGTGAACCATTGCATGATGTGAAAGGTCACACATCTAATCTTTATGAAGAAATCGGTTCTCATTTCAATAAAATTGAAATAAAATCGTTTAAGGATATGTTGAATTCATCATTTGACAACAAATATTGTAAACGTAAGGTAAACTATCGCAAAAGTTTAAGTAAATTAGTTTTTACATTGAAAGGTAAAATTGATTTAGGAGCCTGCAATGTTTTATTAACAATGTTTAACGTTCAAGGCATGCTGTATGGTAATGAACAAAATCGAACAATTGAAAATATTTTATTTTTTTACAATCAAACTTTTTTGCATTCAATTTATTTAAAAGAACTTATTAAGGGTAAACCAATAGCAGTCTTACAGTGAGTCATGTATGGCAAATACCAACATAATCTTGTTATACAAACCCCACATATGTTGAGAATAGTCTCTGGGATATCAGCAAATGTCGAAGAAGAAGAAAGAACTTTTAATACAATTAAAACTATAAACAGTTCAACTACAAAACAACATAGTGATCATGTGATATTAAACAATTTGATTCGACTACAATATCATAAAAACTTAAATGAGGGCTGCAAAGTTCAAACTCATCAACAAGCAATAAGAAAGATTGTAAAAGAATATGAACGAACCTAAACCGAAATTCCGTTTTGGATGATTGAAAGTACAAACAAAAACGTACAAACTACAAACGTAAAAACTACGAAAACGTACAAACTATAAACGTAAAAACTACAAAAAAAGTACAAACTACAAACCACCATAGTGACCATGTGATATTAAACACTTTGATTCGACTACAATATCATAAAAACTTAAATGAGGGCTGCAAAGTTTAAACTCATCAACAAGCAATAAGAAAGATTGTAAAAGAATATGAACGAACCTAAACCGAAATTCCATTTTGGATGATTGAAAAGTACCAATGGGTATGGCAAGGACATTTAGAGCGCATATCAGACTACTCATTTGGTGTAAGTTCATTTGGTGGTTTGAGACAAAAAATGGAATAACATTAAGAAATCATATATATAATGCTTCATCAAAGTTGCAACTATATCATTTTCGCTCATCCACATTAATATCCGAATACATCAACCCAGTGGGCATTTCGACGTTGAACGAACGTTGAGCGACGTCGGATCTCGACGTCGGATCGACGTTGGGTTTACGTTGGAAATGGAAATGTTATTTGACGTCGGATAAACTGACATCGCGCGACGTCGGCATTCCGATGTAAATCCAACGTGTTTTTTGAAAACTAAAAAACGTTGCCATAGGCAGGAGTCGAACCTCGGTCTAATAGAAATTAATTCCTACGCGCTTAACACTACACCTCAGGGACATATTAAGTAATTTGTTTATTTAGTAATTTATACTTGTAGCTATTTGAGAATTATTTCTTTGATAAGAAATAATTTTGTTTAAATATTATATAAATATTAAAACGAATAGTTTTATATTATAAAAAATGTATACTCGAAAATGTTAATAGTTAAAAAACTATGCTAGTGCATCATACAAAACCTCATGATATTTTATCAACCATTATTCAAACTTCTTTCCATTATTAAAAAACACGCTTAGTTCACATATTTATTGAAGAGCGCAATTGCACACATATTGTTGGGTTTGGATTAAATTTTCATCAGCGATGTCTTACAACGTTGTTCCGACGTCGTTTTAAGGACGTTGGATTGACGTCGGAAGACGTCAAAAGACATCGGAGTACGTTAATATTATGACGTTGCCCGACGTCTTTTTATCGACGTTTTTTTATCGATGTCAGTACTGCGACGTTTTTTGGACGTCTTTTATAAGATGTCGAAACAACGTCAAAATACATCGAAACGACGTCAGGGGATGTTGAGATAAAGACATCGCCCGACGTCATTTTACTGACATCGGAACAACGTCGGAATAGGTCTTTTGACATCGCTGATGAAAATCGTACGTAAATCCGACGTCGGATTGACGTCGGGTGCCCACTGGGTTATAATAATATATATTTAAAAATGATTTTTTTCTCCATATAAATAAATATATATTGTCAATATATTATGTTTGTATTCTTCTTAGTAATAATTTAATAAAAGTTTATAGTACCTTCATAACTTAAGGTTTCTTTCACTATATAGTAGACATCTGGTTTGTTTTTTTTTATCACAATAATTTAAAGTATCATAAGGTACTTTTAAATAACAGTTATAAAAGTGTTTATATCTTTGAATACTGAGTCGTTTAAGTGTTTATATCTTTGAATATTTTGTTGCTGGCACACCAATATGACGTTTTTTAGTTAACAACTTTCAATTAAAATTAAAGGACGAAATGGCTTTTATATTGCACAATTTATTTCAACTGCTTTTCAAAAATAGGATTTTGTTCATAAATGTACCAACACAAATGCGTTAAATTGTATTTAGATTCACAAATAATGTTAAAAAAGATTTTTGTAATTACATCTTCTGTAAAATAACACTTCGTTTATTTATTATATAAGATAAAATTTAAAGCTTTAAAAAAGAATTTTTTACAAATTTTTTCTTACATCTTTTTAATCCTTGACTTTTGGATTTAGATTTATTATATTGATAGTAACATTATCATATTATTTTTGTTAGATTATTACATTGTTTGATATTTTTTTTAGATTTTATAAATTTGAGAGATAACTCAAAATCATGTAAGGAACCATTTGTTTTTTATTTTCTCTTTAGTTAATTTTTTTGAAATTGCTTATTGACCTCTTTTTAAATTTTCAAAAGCTTTAGACGAAGATTTAATGTTTAGTAAGTCGCTTATACTTTATTTTTATTTGTTCATTATTAATTCGATTTTAGTCGTCTTTATTTCATTAAGTCGCCGATTTTGTTTTTATTCATTTGTTAAATTTTTTTGTTTATTTTCTTTCCATAAACTTTACTCTTTGCTTTTAGTTAAACCACATTTATTTTAAGTTATCTGTATTTTTTTTTATTTTTAGTACTGAACATTTTTTTATTTAGTGGTGCAACCACAACCTGGTAAGAATTTTTCTATGCTTTTTAATAGCCCCTCAAACCTACAAAAAACCTATTTTGTATTTGTTGTGCCATTGATACCAATTTTTTTTTCTTTTACTTAATTATTTATTTTTAATCTGTTTTTTTTTTCTTTTTAAGCAGGTACACAACAACAATTACGTTTTGGTAATGAAGAAACCATTTGTTTATATCTTTTTTTAAAAAGTTCCTAATATTTTGTCTTTTTCTTTTTCTTTACTAATGTATTATTTTAAATCTGTATTTATATTTTTACTAGAAGCGCAACAACAACCACAATCAGGTAAGATTTTTTTTCAATGTATTTAAAGTCTCTTTTTAAAAAACTTTTTTTTTAAAAAGTTTTTTTAAAAAACTTTTTTTTTAAAAAGTTTTTAAATGAATATTTTTTGTGCTGCCATTTAGGAAAATGACCATAAACGAAAGTCAAGCTCAATCTTTTGATAAAGTTGGTGTTTATCTTGAAAAGCCTTGCTTTTCACATAGTCAATTGAATGTTGCATGTTCAAGAACAAGATTGTTTAATAGTTTGTTTTTTAAAGTTGATAAACATTCATTACAAGGTATGTCATTAAACATTTTTTACACACAAAATGTTGTATTTACAAATGAACTTAATTTATAAACTATTACTTTTGTTTTATTACTAAAGACACTACATTTTAACAAATAACAACACAACCAATTTTATTTTTGACTTACTGTTTTTGTTGTTGTTAAGCCAGAAACTAGTCTTTGATACTGGTTAAAAAAACAGTCTTTGATACTGGGAAAAAAACCAGTCTTTGATACTGGGAAAAAAACCAGTCTTTGATACTGGGAAAAAAACCAGTCTTTGATACTGGGAAAAAAACCAGATACTGGATATTTTTACTGCAAATCCATTCTTTGTTATTTAAAAAAAACAGTTTTTTCATGACATTTACATGACATGACAGTATTAAAATGTGTTTCATATGTTAATAGAAAAGCACAAATATTTTTTTGAAAGACTCCATAGCTCACCTTCTGTTGTTAAAAATGATTATTAGATAGTTTCATTACTGAGGCTAATTACTTTTAATCATTCACTAAGAGCAAAGAAAAATTACTTTGATATACTCATTTTGCTTATATTTAATTTTAATTTTAGTTTAATTGTTATAAAAACCAACTTTCTTTTTGGCTTCCAAATAAATATCATACGACCTTCTAACAACCAAATATTATATCTTTATAACATTTTAGCATTTTTTTACCATAAACTTTAATTATCTTTATTACCTTTTTTTTTTGAAATTACATTTCATCGATGATTGTTAATAAATATTGTAATAGTAACTACGTAGTTGTTTCTTTTAGACTGGCTATTTTGAATCAGTAAAATGATTTTGCAACGAACGATAAATTGTGAAGTCTTTAACGTTAAACAAAATATACATTCACAAAAAAAAAATGTTATTTATATTTGTTTATAAAAACATTGATAAAAATTTAAAAACTCTTAAATATAACATTTGAAATTTTTGATAAGATTTCTTTTTTTCTCAATTATACAATTCTGGCTTTATAGTAATATAGCTATAAAAAGCAACAACGATAACGATAGTTTTTGTTTGGCCATTTCTTAACTGCCTTTCCCTTTGATTTTTCAGCTCTCTCTTTGATTTTTGCAAAATTTTGTCACATTGATCCGTATTGAAAACAGCTTTTTGTTACGGAACAAGTAAAGAGTTTTTTTGCTTCGTAAATTTGATATAGTTTAATGAATGGTTAAAATTCTCTTTTTTCTGTTGTCTTTTTTAAAAGGGGTCCTGTAGGAATTTTAGTCCAAATCTAATGTGATTTTAGTTGTAAAGAGCACTCTTCTGTTAAAGACTTGATATTAAACCGTATTTTGTCTCTTATTCGTAAAAATACTGAAATTTAGGCTAAGAAACGTAAGCAACCATTAAGCAACTTGAGATATAGAAATTGGCTGAAAAATAAGCAACTCGAGTTCTGACCAAAATTCTAAGTTGCTAATACAAAAAAATTCGTGTATTTTGCGAAAGTTGTTTACAACAAACTTATTGTTCACGAATTTCCAGAAAACACCCGCAACACAGAAGTTAGTCCTACATGCGTCAACGAGTAAGCGTTTTCAGTATTTTTTATTATATTGAATATTTTTAAATGAAAAATAATTAAACTATATATTTTTAAATTAGTTATTTTGAAAAAAAAATAAAAAACGGCGTCGCTTTTTTCAGAGAAATTAGATTTTCATAATTTAAATTTAGATCTTTTTGAGGACAACTTTATAAATAATCTATCTGAAGAAAACATAAATATTTTTCAAGAAACTCAAATCAACTTAATTAACACACCGTATATTGATCCTTTTAATTTTAAAGTAAAAACATGATGATGGCACACAAATGATGGCTCATTTTCTGCATTGCACATAAACATAGAAGCATTCAGCAAAATTTTGATAAACTTTAAGAATTTTTAAATATTTTAAATTACACGTTCGACGTCATATCTCTTTCAGAGACTTGGCATGATACAGAAAGTACTCTTGAACTAAATTCTAATTATACTTTACCATTATACAAACTAATTAGTCAACCACGAGGTGGTGTGAAAGAAGGAGGATGATCAGGAATTTATGTCTTGAAAAAGTATGCTTTCAAGATAAAAAACATACTATGCTTTCCTAATAATAATTATGAAAGTCTTTTCATTGAAATTATTAATAAAAAATACCGAAACGTTTTAGTTGGATGTGTTTATCGTCCACTGAGTGGAAAAATAAAAACCTTTGAAACTTTTATCAAAAATACGATTATAAAAATAAATAAAGAAAATAAAACATTATATTTTACTGGTGACATAAATCTTGATGCTCTTTCTAACACAAAATTTCCAAAATTAAATCTTTTTTTGATACCCTTTTTAAATTTAATGTCTTGTCAACTATTGATAAACCAACGCGAGTAACCAAAACCTCGGCAACAGCAATAGACAATATTTTTATTAATAATTATTTAGAAAGGACATTTGAAACCGGTATATTTATGACAGATATTAGTGATCATTTCCCGGTTTTCATAAAAACAAAAAATCTAAAAGCTATGACAGATTGTCATTCAAAAATCATACATTTGTAAAAACGAAATTCAAAAATGAGTAACACTAATAAATTAACAAATAGACTAAAACAAGAAACATGGAACAAGGTATATAAATGTCAAGATACGAATGGAGCTTACAATGCTTTTTTAAGTACATTTTTGGAGTACTTTAATGAAACCTGTCCTCAAGAGATTATAAGAATTAAGTCAAAAGCAATCGCTAATCCGTGGATGGATAAATCGTTATTAAAGTGCTCAAAAAAAAAGCAAAAACTTTACAATAAATTTCTGAAAAATAAAAACGATGATAATGAAAAAAATTACAAAAATTATAAATATTTTTACCAAGATCTAATTAAAAATGCAAAAAAAAAATATTACGGTAATCAAATTAACAAATGCAAATTTGATTGCAAAAAAACATGGTCCATCATCAATGTCATAATGGGAAGAGAAAAACTAAATTCACCTTCTCTACCTAAACGAATTGTTATCGAAAACAACGATATATTTAGTCAAAAACAAATTTTGGAAGAATTCAATAAATATTTTACAAGTATTGATCCAAATCTTGTAAAAAAAATAGTACCAACATCTGTATCATTTAAAACCTTCCTTAAACCAACGAATAATGTTATCATGCTTGATTATGAATTAACCTATGAGAAATTTGAGGCAGCTTTTTCCTCGTTAAAAAAAAAAAGGCTCCAGGATTTAATGAGATATCTAGTAATATAGTTATTGCAAACAAACACAGTCTTAAAAGACCTCTAATATATATACTAAAGCTTTTGTTAAATTCTGGGATATTCTTACAAACAGAAAACAATATGTAAATAATGCCCAATCTGGAGTGTTAAATGTCATATATGGAATTCCGCAAGGATCGATTCTTGGTCTACTTCTTTTTTTAGTATATACAAATCACCTCTGTAATGCATCCTTAAAACTTAATTCAGTCATGTTTGCAGATGACACGAATATATTTATTACCAACAACGATATCAAGAAATTATATGCGGACATGAATATTGAACTAAATAAAGTAAATAACTGGTTTAAGGCTAACAAACTCTCACTTAATGCCGAGAAAACAAACTATATACTTTTTCATAAAAAAACACAAGAAGAAAATCTTCCTCTCAAGTTGCCGAACCTATTTATAAATGACGAATTAATTAAAAAGCAATCCAATACAAGATTCTTGGGAATCGTTGTTGATGAAAAATTATCCTCGCTTCCTCATATAATATATATCCAGTCAAAAATTACCAAAGTCATAGGTTTAATGTATCGAGTTCGCTCGTACATCAAAACAGATAGTCTTAATCTACTTTGGGCTAATTCACAGCCTCATCAGCTATGCAAACATTTCATGGGCAAGTACTCAAACAGCAAAGCTTAAGAAACTTTATAGTTTTCAGAAATATGCCTGTAGAAACATTTACTTTAAAAAAAGGCGGGAATACGCTAATCCCTTGGTGAAAGATATGAAAATGATGAATGTATTTGAAATAAATATCTACCAGCATTTAATTTTCATGTATCGTTACAATCACAATATCTCCCCTATAAGCTTTAATAATAAGTTTGAGTTAAATAAAAATGATAACTATAATCTTAGAGCGAATTAAGATTATAGTTATCATAAACGTTTTTGTTTTGTTTCTACTTTTGTTTGTTGCTTGACAAATTTTATAATCGGATTACGCATTTTGTTATGATATTTTATTGAAATTTTTTTTTTTTAATGTCATATTAAGATATTTTAATTAAATCTTGTTAAAGGGGTTCTATGAAAAGATTGCGATGACGTTCTGTCATCCTCATCTTCTTTGAGCCCCTATCTTTTTTTTTTTTTTTTTTTTTTTGGGACACCCTAATATATATATAATAAATATAACATATATTTCGCCATAAAGAAAATATTTACAAAATTAGACTTAAATATACACGGCTGGGGCAAGAAGAAGACAAATTCAGTCTTATCGCCAAGTCCCTTTAAACAAGAATTCAAGTAACAAACAAAACAAAAAACCAAAAAACCAAAAAAAATCCGTTATCACAATATAATATATGCGTAAGGTACATATATAAATACAAATATCTAAATATTTTTCATTAAAATTTAATACTTTTTTTTAGTTTTTTTTTTTTTTTATTAGGATTTCAAATTTAAAAGTTTCAAAAGAAGTCAAGTTCATTGTCAATTATCAAGAGTTTACTTTTTATTTATTTTTTTAAATTGATCAAGGGAAGAAATTTTTTTAAACTCATTATCCAATAGGGTGTTCCATAATTTAGGTCCTCTGATTGCTATCGAGAACCTAGTCGCAGAATAATATTTTTTTGGTTGAATATAATTGTTGTTTGAAAATCTTGTTGGCTATAAATGATTTATTTTTTCGAAAAATGAATGAAATAAAATGGGTGCCATTTTATTATCTACTTTGAACATAAATATAAAAATATGATATAGGTTAAGTTGAAATACGTTAAGTATTTTGAATTTATTAAAAAGTAATTTAGTGTGCGAAAAGCGATTCACATTTCCAATAATTCTTAGAGCGTGTTTTTGTTTAATTAGAAGCCCTTTATTTTTAGATACATTAGTGCTGCACCAAGCAACGTTAGCGTAACTTAGATAGCAATGAATAAAAGAAAAGTAAATAAGTTTCAAACAAGTTTGGTTCAACAACTGTTTTGCTTTGTATAAAAGGCCTATATTTTTCGAAATTTTATTTTGGATTATTCGTATGTGCTCCTTCCATGTTACGTTTTCATCTAAAACAACGCCTAGAAACAACAAAGAACTCTCTCTTTTGACATAAGAGTTATTAATAAAAATCTTAGGAAGTTGTAAGGGTATGTTGTCTTTATCATGAAGACGATGGAAGAAAGTATATTTTGTTTTTTTAATATTTATGGACAATTTATTTGATATAAACCATTCGCTTAGTTTCACAAGCTCCTCGTTCACTGTTGTAAATAAAAAATTAATATAATAAAAAATAATAAAATGAATAAAATAAGTTAGTATCGTCAGCAAATAAAATTGAATTTAAGATATTGGAAAATTTACTCAAATCATTTATATAAATGAGAAATAAAAGTGGTCCTAGAATTGATCCTTGAGGGACTCCGCAGGTAATTGTCATCAAGTCTGTTTTCTCGCCATCATATAAAATGCATTGTTTCCTATTCTTTAAATAACTCTTAAACCAGCCTAAGTTAGAATTTATGATACCATAATTTTAAAGTTTATAAAGAAGAATATTATGATCTACGGTATCAAACGCTTTGCTCAGATCAATAAAGACACCTAAAGTAAATTTTTTTTCATCAAAC